TCTCAGACGGCACTTGTGAAGGAAAGGGTCCCAGAGACCACCAGCTTACGTGAATATCAACAGAATGACTTTGGTTTATTGGGCTCAGTTGCAGCAGGTATGACAGGAAATACACTAAAGATGGAGTTAATTGTCAGAGCATTCGAAATGGAGTTAGCACTAGTAAGGCTTGATTATGTGAGCTTTAGATTCAATTCGAATCATAACAATGTAAAATATACATCATACAACATTTAGTCACCAAATATTCAACTGATTTCCTTCCCTAAAGGCAAAATACAGTCACCCTCTCCCCAAGAAAGAAAACTCCAAAGTCCCTTCCAGTCACTTTCCCCATCATACATGTGCACTCGCCAGAGACAGAGAGAAGGAAAGTGAGAAATCACTTGCCTGGAGAGGATGGCAATGTCGCAATCCCTTTTCCTCCATTCTCTTCTTGGGGTTCTGAGCACACATGCACTGTGTGCCCAGAGTGTTTTTCAAGCTGCCAAGTGTGGGACTTGAACCACGGAGTCAGCCATATGGGATCCAGCACCTTAACCACAACACTATCTGCTGGCCCATACATTATTAAACTCTAAATTCAGGTTTTCTAAGTAAATCACAGTAGTCTATAAATAAAGGGATGGGGACTGGATGGTGGCATAGCAGTAAAGCATGCCCAATGTTCCACAGGCTGATCCCCATGGGAAGGTTTTGGATTCTCGTCCAGAGACCTCCCTGAGTACACCAGCATGTGTGTGTCTGTGATCTGGGGCTGGCTGAAGCAGGGGTTGGATCATGGCATGAAACCCATGTTGGGCATCTCTTGTAGTGTGCCCATCCCCCCCACACACCGGAGAGTGATTTCTTGCTTTCTGTCTCTCCAGCAAGCACATACACCCTATTTTTTAAAAAAAGAAAATAAGAGAAAATCAGGCCATCCAGGTGGTAGTTAAGGGCTGTACCTTAGATGGTCAACTGTGCCATTCAAGTCCCAGATCCAGCGTCTTGAAAAACGTGGCAGGCGTGTATGCATGTGTGCCCCAAATCCTGAGAAGTGTGAAGGGAAGTGTGGTCATCCCCCCCAAGGAAGTGCTTTCTCACTTTCTCTCTCCTTCTCTGTCTCTGGTGAGAGGATGTACCATAACAAACTAAAAAGAAAAGAAGGGGAAAAAAAGAATGCATCAGGGTATGACATACTCTTAGAGGTGGAAAAAACTCAAAGGATTTCTCAGAGTTTAAATTGTTCAGGGCTGCTTCAGCCATAGAGCACAAACAGAAGGGGGGGGGGGTCTGGGAATCTAGGATGATTGGAAGGAACAGAGCATAAAGTTTGGGTTTTCTTGTTGAAATTTTGGACAGCCTAAAAACGAATGAGATCAGTGACAAAAGTTCTCTAGGTAGCAGCTTCTATTTGTCCAGTACTAGGAATACCTCCTGTTGTCTATGTAATTTGGAATATCTCAGATGAGGGGCATGGGAAAGGGAAGAAGAGACCAGATAAGAATGGTGAGCACTGGGACTAACAGATGGCATAATGGTTATGTTGCTGGATTCCCACATAGTTGACTGGTTTGAGTCCTGGTGATGACTGCTTAAAACTCATGACAGGAGCATGTGCATGTGTACCCAAAATCCTGAGAGGAGAATGGAGAAGAGATTGCAGTGTGGCCTTCCTCCCTTGGGGGTGATTTCTCTCTTTCTGTTTGTCTCTCCAGTGAGTACAGATGCTCTATAGCAAAAACCTCTCTCAAAATAAAAAAAGAATGATGAGCACTAAGGAGGATGAAATGAGGACTTTATATAGGAAATGAGAAACAACTGTTGAGCTAAAAAAGAGGCAACTCTGAGACTATTAAATACCTGGGTTTTCTTGTATGGCTGGCAAACTGATTCAGGACATAATTCTAAAAGAAAGATTTCAGAAACTTTCAAAATAACTGCTTCAGTGAAATTACCATATGGCCTCCTGAAATACCTTAGAAAGACAAGGTTTAATTTAGATCTTTATTATGCGTGTTCAAAAAAGCACTACCATGTATTTATAGCCACTACTTAACGTGACTTCAAAAACATGGATAATGAAAGAATAACACCCAATATATTGGGTCATTGGAAAAGTCGTGACATATTTTTCCATTTTTCTATGCAAAAATGTGTCATGACTTCTGATGACCCAAAAGTTGTAATTGACCTTAAAGAAAAAAAAGGAAAAGAAATGTCTTGATTTCTAATTTTAGGTTCAAGCTGAGTTGGGCCACCATGCAAGGAAAGGCATGGAAGGTTTTTTGACATTATCAAGGAATGTTGTGGAGGGAAGCGGCCAATCCTGTGGTGGGCTGGCCTGGGTCTAGGGTCCGTGGAGGGTAATGAGCAGGCTTGGCCGGGTGGCAGTTTAGGGGCCCCCTAGCAGTGAGAAACTGTGGTGGGAGTTAGGGGGATCTGGAGGCATTCTATGGATGAAGTCCCTGTGGCCCACCCTGGGGCTGGTGCAGAAGTTAGGGGTGAGAGGGAGTGAAGGAAGATAAAGACTGGCTCAGGTCCTCTGCAGCGACTACTTTTTTTGGGAAAGACTGCAGTTGGGATGGTCTTTGATACATGGAGGGTGAGGTTAATCTGGCCAGGAGGGAAAAGCAGACTTGCAGGAGATTGAGAGCCACTGTCTGGATACTGTGGAGATTGGGATTGTGGGGAGTAAAACAGGGAACACTCCTTTAGAGTCTTAGCAGATCTGTCAGGGTGTGTATGGGGATCGGACTGGAGTGGGTTAGGAAGCTGATGGGCAAGGCGCGAGGGAACCCTGAGGCTTAAGGTGCAAATGTAACAGGGGCCGGACTGATTCTATCTTGTTAAAATAAAACTAGTCTCTTTCTCAGCCTGATACTCTTAGATTTCTCATACAAACACCAAGGAGACAAACATCCAACCTAGAACTTAGAGCAATGAAGGATGCTCTGCTCCAGTCATAAGCTGAAACGCCTGTCTTTAAGATCAATCATTCGATTGTGCTCCTTAGTTGAGACTGAAACTCAAAGTCTAATCAATTGTGCCCCCATCCAAAAATTAACTTGGTCTATGCTTTTTAATAGCTAGCCATTTGCCTCAGTGTCTATAAGCTGGCTGATCAAAGATGTGCTTACATGTCCTCCTGGTATGGCCACACTGTAATTAATTCTCCTTTCCTCTCTCATGAACAATTCTGCTGAGCGAGGGGTTGGCCTTGCTTTGGGACCCTTGACTGGGGGTATAAAGTCCCCTGTCTGGCAACATGTAGGCTGTGGGGACTTGCAGGAATGTGGGAGGGGGCTCTGGATAAGCAGGGTGGGAGAAGTGTAGGAGGGAAAGGCAAAGAGGAATAATAATTTTTTTAAAAGGAATGTAGAAAGCAGCAAAATTTTTAATTTAAATAATGGTGGGTTTACCCTTCACGGGGATTATGCAGACCTTACAAAATGTCCAATTACAAAGTAAAGTGACTAAGCAGGAAAATCTGTTCTTTTTTAACAACCTGGTTAATAAACTTTCATATGTAAAATTCCAGGCTTCTTAGAGGTAAGCGTGTTATCAATTTCCTAAAAACAAAAACACAAAAACGTTCTCCCTGAAAGTTGCAAAGTATTGGGACCAGCAGTTGGCATAATGGCTATGTCGCTGGACTCCCATGTAGCCAACCACAGTTCAAGTCCCGGACCTGGTGGCTTACACTCACGCCGGGCATGTGTGCGTGCATGCCCAAGATCCCGAGAGGAGACTGGAGAAGGGACTGTGGCATGGCCATCCTCTCTAGGGGGTGATTTCTCGCTTTCTGTCTCTCTGCCTCTCTCTGTCTTTCTGGTGAGCACAAGCACCCTATAGCAAAAACCTCTCCAACTAAAAAAAAAAGTTGCAAAGTATCATGACACTATATTTCATTAAAATCAAGTAAAGATAATATTCCAGTCAAATACTACTGAATCTATGGTTTACATCTTATGAAGATACACCACTAAAATAGAAACTTTGAAGTGCAGATGTTTTATGTATATGCTCAAATACTTATTTTCCACAGCTGAATACTTATTGTAGTAAAGAACACAATGGTTTTTTCAACAGATTCTGACTGAATTTTTTGTTTTGGTGTTTATGTATGTAGGAAAACACTTTATAATAAGTTTTTTTTTCAAATTATTTTTATTTATTCATTTGCTTATTTTATTTTGACCAGAGAGAGAAAGTGAGAAAGCAAGCCACCAGGTCCAGGACTTGAACCATGCTTCTCTGCCTCTCTCTGTCTTTCTGGTGAGCACAAGCACCCTATAGCAAAAACCTCTCCAACTAAAAAAAAAAGTTGCAAAGTATCATGACACTATATTTCATTAAAATCAAGTAAAGATAATATTCCAGTCAAATACTACTGAATCTATGGTTTACATCTTATGAAGATACACCACTAAAATAGAAACTTTGAAGTGCAGATGTTTTATGTATATGCTCAAATACTTATTTTCCACAGCTGAATACTTATTGTAGTAAAGAACACAATGGTTTTTTCAACAGATTCTGACTGAATTTTTTGTTTTGGTGTTTATGTATGTAGGAAAACACTTTATAATAAGTTTTTTTTTCAAATTATTTTTATTTATTCATTTGCTTATTTTATTTTGACCAGAGAGAGAAAGTGAGAAAGCAAGCCACCAGGTCCAGGACTTGAACCATGCTTGGCCATGTGGGAATGTCCAGCGCCTTAACCACCACGCCACCTGCTGGTTCCAACTTCATAATAAGTTTTATAAGAAGTCTTCACTTCTTAAAGAGAAAACTCAGATTCAGGAATACTGAATGTCCATCAAAATGCCAGCAACAGGGCCAGCAGTGGTGTGGTAGCTGGGGCACTGGATCCCACACAGCTGACTCCACAGTTTGAGTCTCAGATCCGATGGCCTGAAAATCACACGGAGTGTGTATGCATGTGCACCCAAATCCTGAGAGGAGAATGGAGAAGGGATTGCAGCATGGCCATCACCTTGGGGGTGATTAAATTGCATTTTCTTAATTAATTATGCAAATATTAGGACTGAAAGAAAAAATAGTAATATTTAGTACAGAAACTTGATATCAATTTAATATAATACAGCTATATTTTACACTCATTTTCATAATTATATTGTTATAAAAACTAAAATCAGGCATGATAAATGTAGTTTTCAGTGATTCCTTGATTATTTATGCTTATTTTTCAAGTTCTATGTTCAATTATTTATACTTCAATGTTTTCTGTAAAATGCATTAACACTTCCTAGAATGTGACTGGCACTGATTTTTATGGGAATCTACTCTTTCAAATTCATTCAGTGTGAGCTGAGTGAACCATGAGTTCTTTGCATTTAATATGATTTACTTAATGGTAAGGCCTTCTCATATTATAAAGTGAACGTTACATATGAATTTTCTGATGTACAATAAGATTTGACTTCTGGGAAAATGCTTTCCCGCATCGGGCACATTCATAGGGCTTCTCTCCTGTATGAGTTACCTGATGCCTAAGGAGGTGAGACTTCTTGATGAAGGCTTTGCCACATTCAATACATCCATACGGCTTCTCCCCTGTATGAATTCTCTGATGTGTAACAAGCACGGAAGCGTTGCCAAAGGCTTTGCCACATATGATACATGGGTACGGTTTCTCTCCTGTATGGAATCTAGAATGTTTATAAAGGGACGAACTATATCTGAAGGTTTTCCCACATTCGTTACATGCAAATGAGTTCTCCAACGTGTGGGATTTCACATGCTGAGTGAAGGAGGAGTGCCAAGTGAAGGTTTTCCCACACTGACCGCATTCGTAAGGTTTCTCTCCAGTGTGAAGTCTCTGGTGGACCACGAGTTGGGCTTTGTGTATGAAAGCTTTCCCACAGTCGCTACACACAAAGGGTCTCTCTCCATCATGAATTTTCTGATGAGTCGCAAGGTGTGCCTTCCTGCTATAAGCTCTCCCACAGTCACTGCATTCGAAGGGCTTTTTTCTTGAATGATTTTTTTCATGTCTGATGAAATTAAACTTCTTCTTGAAGGCTTTTCCACATTCATTGCATTTATATGAGTTCTTTCCAATATAACTTCCATTATAATTAAATAAGTCTAAATTAGGTTGTATACCCTTCCAATATGATTTACATTTATATGATTTTTTTCTAGTAAGATTAAGATTTGTACTCGTATTATATCTGTGGGTTCTCTCTGTCAGCTGAGTTTTATTAAAAGTCAGCAAAACGGACTTCAAAAAATTGCCTTTGCTTTTCTGATGCTTCTTTAGTTCACCAAGTGGACACTCAGCTTCTAGAAAGGAGTAGAAGAAAACATTCCTAGTTTTTATTTTTCCCACCAACATTACAGAAAGAAATGTCTACAGCTTCATCTATTCTTATTCTATCAATAAAACGAATCCCTTATTTGCCTTGCTCCTGAGGTTTAAGAGGAAATGGGAGCAGATTAAGTAATAGTAATAGGAACGGGTTTAACTTGTGACCTGTGGAAAGACAGTAAAACAGGCACAAAGTAACTGTTCGCAGAGGACAGGCAGGAGGTACCCAGCATGCAGAGCTGGCTCACAGAACGAGGAAAGCCCATGGTGGAGCTCTGATTAGTGGATAGGGTAACCAGGAGGTGGAAGATAAGGGAATTAAGGAAAATATCAGTTTGGAGGAGGCAGACCAAAGGCAGAATCCTCACTACCCAATCCCGAGATTACTCTGATGGACAGTTTCCTGTTTCTCTCATTTCACCTCTTTTTCTCCTAATCACTTTGCACAATGTCAGTTGCCTTTGGGAACATTCATCTATCCACAGTTAACTAACCCACCCAGATCACGGCAGAGGAACACCTGTGGACAGCTCCATTTCTACTGACAGTGAGATTCATTCTTATATGTCCTTGCAAGCCCAGGACCACAGGGGTCTCGCAGGCCACCCAAGGCAAGTCATCCTCACCTGGGCAGACTCTGTCTACTTGCTATCACCTTATCCTGCCTGGGTTTCCATAGATGATAACTACATGTCATATCTGTATTTGACAAGTATATTACATCCTCCTTCAATATGCCTAACAAACTAGTCCCCAGAAAGCTGCTTTTTTCTGAAGTCCTATTTTTTCACTCCGTCCTCAAAAACCTTATAAATCCCAAATCTGTTTCTCCATTTTAAAAAAGAAATGGGGGGACAGAGTTGTAATTCCCCACTCTTCATCTTCCCTCCAAGTGTAATGTGAGTACATCACCCCTAGCCTCTGCGCCTTACTGTTCTCCATGGAAATGGACTGGCTGCAGAAATTAACAAACATTTCTTTTTCTTTCTTTTCTTTTAGGTTTTTTTGTTTTGTTTTGCTTTGTTTTTGTTTTTGTTTTTGCCATAGGGTGCATGCATTTGCCAAAGAGAGACAAATCGAGAGAAACTGAGAAATCACCCCACAGAGGAGATGGTCAGACCACAATTTCGTCTCTCCCATTCTCCCCTCAGAATTCTGGCCACACGTGCCAGGTGTGATTTTCAAGCTGTTAGGTCAGGGATTTGATCTGTGGTCAGCCATGTGGGAATCCAGCACCTTAACCAACATGTATAGAGTAGTTTTGAGTTGGGGATATGGTTCCTCTCTTTTCTCCTCTTAATCGGCAACAGCGTTCAGTGTTACATCTACCAGTGATAACCAAATGAGAAATCCAGGGTAATCAGCCTGGTTAACAAAACCATGGAAGATACGAATTCACTCATGGGTTCTAAATGTACATTCCCCTAGTCCTCAATGAATACCTCTCCCATGGATCTAGACTTGGAAATAACTACAATTTTTTTGCTCATGTTCCTTCCTATCATAACTTACCCTTTTTCTCATTGCCTTCTCATCCTATTTCTTAGGTATTCTTTAGGGAAGAGCCATTGTTGACTGATATTAAAAAAAAAAAAAAAAGACCCCTCCAATTTTTGCATACTTAAGTTCCATTTTCTTAACTTCTAAGATAGTCACTACTGGGGACCAGCAGTTAGCGTAATGGCTATGTCGCTGGACTCCCACGTAGTCGACCACAGTTCGAGTCCCAGGCCCAGTGGCTTAAACTCACGCCGAGCGCCTGTGCGTGCGTGCCCAAGATCCCGAGAGGAGAATGGAGGAGAAGGGATTGCGGCGTGGCCATCCTTCCTGGGGGGTGACTTCTCGCTTTCTGTCTCTGTTTCTGTCTGTCTGGCGAGTGCACGCGCCCTATAGCAAAAACCTCTCAAAAAAAAAAAAAAAGATAGTCACTACTGCCTGTACCATTAATTTTGATCCTTAACTAGAACAAAACTGTAATAATGTTAACACTGGACAGATGTCACACATTCATTGTTAATTTTAAAATATTTTAATATGGCTACATTTCACCACTCCAACTATAACTTACACACAAATAGCAATGGATTTTTTGCTATCTTTGAACTCTTCTCAGAAAACATGTTAAAAAAAAAGGTCTTGTTTAGGGCAAGTCAGTGGCATGGTGGTTAAGGCAACTGGATTTCACATAGCCTACTGTGCAGTTCAAGTTATAAACCCAGTGGCTTAAAAAACATGCCAGGCACATGTAGGTATAAGCCCAAAATCCCCAAAGGGGAATAAGGAAGAAGGGATTACACATGACCGCTCCCCATGCAGGGTGCTTGCTCACTTTCCTTCTCTCTGTCTCTCTGGCACATGTGCACACCGTTTAACAACACATTTTTAAAAAGTCTTGGTTAATGGAAGAAAAAAAAGCATTCCCCATAATGCCTGGTTCCACAATAATGAATAAAATATTCAATGAACGCTCACCATGTGCTTAGCATGGTGTAAATGAAAAGGTAACACAGATCTTTTTCTTCAGAACACTATCATGAAAATAACATGCTTTAAGAGTCACAAGCATTTTAAAAAAATAAAAATTCAAGACAGTATATATCAAGCTTTCATGACAGAATCATAGCAGAGTTGGTTTGGGAGTTAAAGAAGGAGACTGCTCTAGGCTAAAGTGACCATGATAGAGGAGAAAACTGAACTGACTGAATAGCCGGTGTTAGTTAGATGGAGCACATCAGAATCAAAAGGACACATGCACACACACACACAATGTGCAGAGGACATTAAAAAGCCTGACCTGGGGACCAGCAGGTGACGTGGTGTTTGAGGCACTGGGTTTCCACATACGGACACCCCCTGTTTGAGTCCCAGACTTGGCAGCTTGAGGGTCACACTGGGCACGTGTGCCCAGAATTTCAGGAAGAGAATGGAGGAGAAGGGATTTCAGTGTGGTCATCTCCCCTAGGGTGATTTTTCAGTTTCCCTCTCACTGTCTCTCTCCAGCAAGCACACGAGCCCTATGACAAAAACCTTAAAAAAAAAAAAAAAAGCTTAAGATTTAACAGTGATTAGTAGAACAATTCTTCAAGTCCACACGATCTGACTATATTATAGACTAGCTCTATAGAAAAAGATCTATAATCATGTTGAGGAGAGAAGAAAAGTGAGGGTTTTAGGAATTAAGAGAAGGAAATTTTTTTTTTTTTTGAGAGGTTTTCGCTATAGGGCGCATGCGCTCACCAGACAGAGAGAGACAGAGACAGAAAGCGAGAAATCATCCCCCAGGGGGGGATGGTCACGCCGCAATCCCGTCTCCTCCATTCTCCTCTTGGGATCTTGGGCACGCACGCACACGTGCCTGGCGTGAGTTCTAAGCCACCAGGTCCGGGACGCGAACCGCGGTCAGCTACATGGGAGTCCAGCGACATAGCCATTACGCTAATTGCTGGTTCCTAAGAGAAGGAAATTAAGGACCTAAATGGAACAGACGGTGTGAGGATCCAGAGGAGAGAGGAGCAAGACATCCCTCCATGCAATGGAAGAAAGAGCAAAGAGAAAGAGCACCCATGTGGGGACAGTGAAAGTGCAGGTGTCACTTGGGGATCTGATGATGTTGTGTCACATGAACACAGTGACTTTCACATTGTGCAGGTTTGTTACTTGTTTAGTTTCCTATAGAGTATGTGCACATAAGAGAGAGAAAAAAATCAGCCCCCAAAGAAGATAGCCAGGCTGCAACCCCTTCTCCTCCCCTCTCTTCTCAGGATTTTGGGCACACTTGCACAAGTGCTCAGTGTGTTTTCAAAGCCGCTGGATGCAGGACTTGAGCCATGTAGTCAGTCATATGAGATCCAGTCATCTTAACCACCATGCCACCTGACTGGCCCACGGTGTGTGACTTTTAAGAAAGGATTCCTGAAAAGCATTCAGAAGTGCCTGTCTTCAATGACTAACTGGGATCTCAAGTCCAAACACTCCCATCTGACATTCACACTCACCTGGATCGCTCCAATGTGGGTTCTCTCCCTCCACCATCAGCGACTCCTGTCCTTGCCTCACCTTGAAGGTCAGTTTTGTTTTAGTAACTGGACACCCTGTTAGTAGGAAAACAACACAGAAGCAGTGAGCAAGTGCTTGGCAAACAACTACCTCACAACTTAGGTGGTCCTCAGGGCCCTTAAAGGATAACAGAAGAGGTTTGGAACAGAGCAGATCTGTCTTCATTTAAGAGATAGAAGCATAAATGGACTATCTGATCCAACAAAGGGTATTAAGAATCCTGCACCACTGGCCCAGCCTAAGTGGTATGATCCAGTGTATTGGACTTTAGTGCCAGAAGCCACATACCAATCACAAGTTCAGGCCCCTGGGTGACCTGAAAACATGCCAGGCTTACATGCAGATACCCAAGATCCTGAGGAGCTGGAGGGCAGGGAAAAGGGGATTACAGTGTGATGAGACCCTGTCAGAGGTGCTTCTCTTCCTCTTATTCTCTTCTGTGTGCTCACGTGGCCATCATTTAAAAAAAAAAAGTCTTTGACACTAAAATTCAGGTCCAAGCATCTTTTTCTTTCTTTTCTTTTCTTTCTTTTTTTTTTTTTTTGAGAAAATTTTGCTATAGGGCACATGTGCTTGCTGGAGAGACAGAGACAGACAGAAAGTGAGAAATCACTCTCCAAAGGGGATAGCCATACTGCAATTCCTTCTCCATTCTCCTCTCAGGATTTTAGGCGCACGTGCACACATGCCCCGCATGAGTTTTAAGCTGCTGGGTTCGGGACTCGAACTGCAGTCGATGATGTGGGATTCCATGACATAACCAATACACCAAGTCCAAGCTTCTTAATGGTTCAGAATGTTCAAAGTTTTTCTAAGTCTTAAAGGAAGGGCACTAATAGTACCTTCTACATTAAGCTAAAAAGTTATCACCCGCTATCCTTACCTACTGAGTTGAGGTTTCTATAGTTCTCCATCATCACATCCCAATACAGAGTTCTCTGATCACAATCAAGCAGCTTCCACTCCTCTGAGGTGAAGTCCACAGCCACATCCTGAAACGTCACTGATTCCTGTAACAGCACATTCATCCAAACTAAACTATACATCGCTAAAGAACCTGTAAGAAAATTACGGCTGCCTCTTGCTATCATACCATGTTCACTGATGACTTTGTATAAAGCTATATATAATAACTACTATACACTTCATCCAGAAATATACTAGTGCCAGCACAATTCAAAGGGGAACAGAAAAGTCTTCAATAAGTAGTGCTGAGACAATTGACTATCCACGCACAAAAGAATGAAGTTGGACTTTCCACTTACCTCACATCATATATAAAAACAAACTGAAGTGGATCCAAGACCTCAATGTAAGAATTAAAACTACTGAACAGTCAGAAGAAAACACAGGAAGAGAGTCTGTTGTGCGCTTGGATTAGGCAGCGTTTTTTTTGGTCATCTTTTTTTTAATTTTTTTTTAAGCTGTTTTGAGTGGACTTGAAATGAAATGGCCTTGTTGAGAGTGATGCACCTTTTATTCAACTTTATTACTGATCTGACTAATGTGCTTTTTAGTAGGTGATGGAAATAGACTTTCAGTAAAGTCCAAATTAATTTCTTTGATGGACTGTCTGGTAATATGCTGTCACAGTTCAAAAAATGCTGCTTCCTCTTTCTTGGAGCAAAAGTTGACATCACCTTAAATTAATTCCTGCACTTCAGAGCTGGAGACTTCTCCTCAACCAAGCCAGTCCCTCTCGCTAGGTAGTGATTTTTTAAATGTGACAGAAAAAGTATAAGAAAAAAAAGTAAATTGGACTTCATCAAAATTAAAATGTTGTGCTTCATAGGACATTATCAATAAAGTGAAAAGAAATTTCACAAAACAGGAAAAAAGACTTGCAAATCATTTACCTGGTAAGAGATTTGCATCTAGAATATATAAAGAACTCTTAAAATTCAACAACAAAAAGATAACCTAACTTAAAAATTTACAAAGAATTTGAACAGAAATTTCTCCAATTTTATAGTTAATATATATAAAAAATATATATATATATATATATATATATATAGTCAGTAAGCACATGAGACGGTGCTCAGGCCAGCCCTATAGCTTGGTGGTTAAGGCAGCTAAATCCCACATAACTGAATGCAGTTTGAATTCTGGCCTTGGCAGCTTGAAAAACACATTATGTGCATGTGTGTGCACACCCAAAATCTTGACAGGATGAAGAAATAGAGGAGAAGGAACTGTGTATGACCACACTCCACTGAAGGATGCCTTTTCCCTCTCTCTTTATTTTTCTCCAGTAAGCACATGGACCCTTTGGCAATAAAAAAAGGTACTCAACATCACTAGTCATGAGTGAAAGCAAATCAAACCATAATGAATGGAGCCGGCAGGTGGTATGGTGGTTAAATGTCCTGAACTCCTACATGGCTGACCACGGTGGCTTGTTTTCTCACTCTCCCTCTATGTGTGTGTATGTCTTTCTCTGGCCAAATAAATGAATGAATAAATAAGATTTAAAAAATAAAAACACAATGAGACATCATTTCGTACTCATGAAAATAGCTAAAATCAAGGCAGACAATGCCAAGTGTTGACACAGATATGTAGAAATGGGAACTCTCATACATTACTGGTAGTATTACAAAATAGTGGATAAATTTTAGAAAACAGTTTGGCAGTTTCTCAAAATGTCAAACACCCAGCAATTCCACTCCTAGGCATATACTCAAGAGAATTAAAAAATGTATGTCCACACAAAACCCATACATAAATGCTCATCATACATAGGATCAGAATATAGAAATAATTTGGTGTCCATGAACTAATAAGTGGATAAGCAAAATGTGGTATATCATATGATGGGATATCATCCTACAACAAAAAAGGAACAAAGTATGGAAACATCTACAATATGGATGAACCTTTAAAATATTGTGCTAGGTGAAAGATGTCAACCACAAAAGGTCACATGTTATGTGGCTCCATTTTTATGAAATGTTCAGAATATAAAAGTCATGAAACAGAAAGTAGATTAGAGCTGAGGGAAAGGAGAAGAGGGGTGGGCATGGGGTTTCTTTTTGGAGTGATGAAAACATTGTGAAATGTTTGGTGATAGCTATTCAATTTTGGAACATACTCTAAACTACTGAATTACATAAACTTTAACTGGGTCACTTTTGTGCTATATGAATTGTGTTTCAATAAAGCTATTAAAAATATCACTTATATATATATATCCTTTATTCATTCTTTCATAAGTTTGTTTGTTTAGAGAGATTTTTGCTATAGGGTGCATGAACTTGCCAGAGAGAAAAAGTGAGAAATCACTCCCCAAGGGGGATGGCCATGCCACAATCCCTTCTCCTCATTCTTGTCTCGGGATTTTGGGCATACACACACATGCACCCACCTTGAGTTTCAAGCTGCCAGGTCTGGGACTTGAACTTTGGTTAATCATGTGGGAGTCCAGTGCCTTAACCACTATGCTACCTGCAGGCCCCCCTTCGTAAGATATTTAACGAGGAATAAAATGATCACTCCCATTAGAGGTCTTCCAATCTAGTATACTCTTTGAAGTAAACATAAGTTTAGTAAGATGTTACTGAAGCTACAGGTTTACATTCCAGACTCATGTATCCATAATAAATAAGAACACAAGGATTATTTTATATAATAAAACATAGCTTCTCCATAATAAAGGAAAAATCATGCTTAATGAGCAAATATCAAAAGCAATTAAATTAAAGACATGCGGCTACATGTCTATCACAAAAGAAATAGTTAATATCAGGATCAGGAAACTGACTCATGGGCTGGTCTCCTATTTTTGTGAATAAAATATTACTGGAACATAATCATAACACTGTGTTCATTCACTTCAGCTACAATGGCACGGTGAGTAGTTGCCACAGGGGCCATATGGCTCTCAAATGTAAAATATCTACTACTTGGCCCTTTAAGAAAGTTAAAGTGAATAGGTAGAGTTTATCCCAGAAATGCATAGATATGGTCATGTATTACTTAATGATGGAAAATGTTTCAAGAAATGTGTCATTAGGTGATTTGCACATTGTATGAGCGTCATAGAATTTACTCACATAAATCTAGATGGTACTGCCTACTATATACCTAGACTATATATATATGTGTGTGTGTGTGTGTGTGTGTGTGTGTGTGTGTGTGATATATATATATGTGTATGTATGTGTATATATATATATATATATGTATGTATGTGTGTGTGTATATATATATATATATATATATATATATATCTCGAGCTTTATAAAACCAGCATCCTATATGAACTCCACCATTGACCAAAATATTACTATATGGTACATGACTGTAGTTCAGTACTGGGAAATGTATTAAAATTCTCTAAGCTGGGAAACCCTGTAGCCTGGTGGCTAAGGCAGCTAGATTCCACATGGCCAACCATGTGATTTGAGTCCTGGACCTGGTGGCTTGAAAAACATGCCAGACACATATGCATGCAGTCCCAAAATCCCAAAAGGAAGGAAAATTGAAGTATAAAGAATCGCAGCATAATTATGCTCCACAGGGGGTGCTATTTTGCTTTCCCTCTCTGCCTCTCTCTGGAGCACATGCACCCTCAGGCAAAAAAAAAAAAAA